TTGTAAGTACTGTATATGCCGACATATAATCCATACAAACAAAGTAGCATGGTTTTGCACTAATCATTTATTATTTATGAGACTAACTTTTTTTCAAGTGTAGAATGTGAGAACTTGGCTAATATAAATCAAGTTATTTCTGTTTGAAAACACCCATTTATTCACTCCCTTCTGAGAAATGTAAGCATCATTTTTCTAAGCTATTTTCTCTCAATTTAAAACATACTGTTATAAAATCAGGAATAAACAATAGTTTTATATTCTCTTAACAAATTTTAAAATTAAAACGATAAATCAGTGGAGCATGGTAGTGGCATAAATAATGTTGAATCAAAGTTATAATAAAAGTAGACTATCAACTGCAAATGGATAATTCATATAAGTTTGACAATTTCTTCTGATTTTAATGCTATTTCTTAACTCTCTATACTACTGCTCACACATTTTATTTAACTAATGTTTTTCATTTGTCAATCAGCCTGTTTTACCAAATCACTGATAATCAGTTTATTTGTTATTCAACTGAAAGGGAAGTATTGTTATATTCATAGAGTTCTTTGCATTGCCAAGAAGATTATGGTTCAATTGTGTGTGTGTGTGTGTGTGTGTGTGTGTGTGTGTGTGTGTGTATTTATGTACAAGAAAGAAAAAAGACAGAATTAATATGAGAGCAAGCTGCAGGTATTGAGGAGGCAGGGGGGAAAGCCTTATTTCTATTAAATTTATCACATTTATCTCCCTTTCCATTCTATCCTAGCTCCTTCATCCTCCTCTCACCAAAATGTAATGTTAGTACATTTGAGTGTTTCCCAGTAAGAAGAAATGTAGTTGCACATTCAAATTCTTCAGACAAAAAAGCAATTGATACACAATGGCAGGTATGTTGTTCCAGTAGAAAATTGGTTTTGTGTTTCTAAAGGAAGAGCAATATGTATCTGTGAGAAGAAAAAATCCAACCTTGAAAGTAACCACATTTATCTTCCTTCAAGAGAGAAATTAAACAAAAAGTTAACTCCAAAGTAATGATTAACTTAAGTATCTTTTATTGACATGACATATTGTCCTTCTAAAGGAAAAGAAAATATTAATAACCAAAGAGAAGAGACAAAAATCTCATGTTAAGCTCAAGGAAAATATTGATGTTTAGTGCATTTAAATCATAAAAATGGTGTTCAGCTTATTTATGCTTCCATGCTTGTGTGTGTGTGTGTTAAAAATGCAAAAGGAGCCCTACCTGGTTTGGTTCAGTGGATAGAGTGTTGGCCTGTAGATTGAAGGGTCCCAGGTTTGATTACAGTCAAGGGCATCATCATTGATGTTTCTATCTCTCTCTCCCTCTCCCTTCCTCTATGAAATCAGTAAAAATATATTTTTTAAAAATGCAAATGGATGAGCAGTAATGGAAGCCCAATACTAAACCTACAACTTAATAGTTTCCAGCTTGTTAACACTAAATTTACCTCTAAAGCGTTTAGCTGCAGATGAAATGAGACACAATCCTTCCAGGAAAGAGCATCATTAACCTTATTGTGGCCTCTACAACACACCTCCATATGCTTATACCTGAGAGATGATTAGATGAATTTGCATAAAGGTAAATGACTTTTGAAATAACATTTTTAGAAACTATGTGATAGGTTGGTTTTCAGAATTAAACTTGAATTTGAGGTTGAAAGTCTTACCCCAAAGTAGAATTCACCCTGAAGGAACTGTGAATCTATAACAGTGGTTCTCAACCTTCCTAATGCCTCGACCCTTTAATACAGTTCCTCATGTTGTGGTGACCCCCAATTTTGTTGTTACAAATTGAACATAATTAAAGCATAGTGAAAAATTTAAGGGGCACAAACAGTAATCAAGACAAATAATAGTTTAACACACCATTTAAAAAAATAAAAATTAATACAAAAGTCCTATGATGAACAAAAGATAACCATTTAATTAAAGGTAAGATCAGTATATGCTTTCCATGTCTTCTAAAGTGTTTTACTCTTTGGTTCGTTAGCTTGTAGGCCAATAGTCAAGCCTTCATTCTCAATTGTTTCACAACTTCAGAACATAAAAGCACAATTTCACAATTTTAAGTATATGTATATTCTTAGCATAGTAAACCTTGTCCTCCTCCATTCCACTGAATATGTTATTTGGTGGCTGCAATTCTAAGGCATAGTCTATGAATATCAAGGCACTTGAAGAGTTTCCCTTTATATAACTGTTCCTTAATTTTTCTCCTTAATTTTATTTCTTTCTCTTCTGCTTTCAGTTGCTGCTGTTGAGAAGTCTTCAGTCTAATTGATTTCCTCTATTACAGAAGATTAAAATACGGACTCGATTTTTCTCTTATACTGCTGTTAATATATCATGTTTGGCTTTGTGTCCGGCAGTTTCATAAATATCTATAGTAATAAAAGGGTAATATGCTAATTAGACCAGATATCATTTCAGACGTCATTCCAGACTTCCTTCCTGACAAAGCCAGCTGGAGCGAAGCCCAGGTCCTGGGTGCCATAGGGAAGCCAGTGCTGGCAGGCTGGGGAAGGAAGGCCTACTCTTGCACAAATTTCTTGCATCGGGCCTCTGTATATCCACACTAGGATTTGTTTTATTTACCCTGATTAGGATATAATGTTCTACTGGATATGAGGACTCATAGTTTTCAGTGTTCTGGGAAGTTCCCAGTTAATTTTTTCATCTAAACGTGCTGCCCGGCATTCATTTTATCCTTTCCTTATGGATTTACACACACACACATGCACACAAGCACACAGATTAGCTTTTCCATCCTACCACGTATAAATCTTTAATTTTCATTCATTTATTTTCCTTTAACACATACCAATCTTTCACAACTTATCTTAAGGTTTATCTAATTTTTCTTAGTAATCCCCTAAGGAATTTTTTTTAAATAATTATAATATTTGTATAACTTCCATTCTACATCAAATTGGCCTGTTTATTCCTAATAGTTTCTATTTTTATTTGTTACTTTAATTTCATACTTTATTAAGTTAAGTATTTCAGAGATATCCTTCTCTATGTATTTTTTTTCACTTCAAGAATCTAAACCTATTGCTGCTTCTTCTTCTTCTTCTCCTCTCTCTCTCTCTCTCTCTCTCTCTCTCTCTCTCTCTCTCAATTTCATTTCTATTTCCCTCTTTCTCTCACCTCCGTCCCTATTTCTTTCTCCTCATTTGCCCCTCTCCCTCTCTCTCTCAGCTTTTTCTTTGTGCTTGATGATTTTTGGTTATGAGCTTATCCTTTTCTAAAAAAAATCTGTGGGACTCCCATGGTTCTATATTGGAGAAAAAGATAATTTCTTATTCCAGTGACCACAGAGGACCATGAGCCAAAAACAAGTCTGAAGAGTGTGCAGATATAATGTGAAAACTGCAGATTGAGCTGTTCCTTGTCTCAGATACAAGTCTGCATGATGCAAAAGGTTGTAGGGCTCTTTGTCCTCTGGCCAAACCATCTCTTTCCATCTGTCCACAGCTTAGTCTCTATACCCCAACAATAGGCTTTTTTTTGGGGGGGGGGTGGGTTGGACACCTCTTCTGCCACCTTTTGGTATAATAATGCCATAAATAATGTATCTTGTCCATGGCAAAATCTTCCTATAGACAGAGATACCCCAGGACACCTAGCATGTCACATACAGGTAAGAAGTCTATTCATGTTACATTTATGAGATTAGGCTATATTGACCTCATTTTTAAAAAATTTTTAAATCTTTATGGCTGAAAGTATTACATATGTCCTCCTTTTCCCCCATTGACCCCTTCAAGCCCATCCCTGACCCCCTGCCCTAGGCCTTTACATCCTATTGTCTATTGTCTGTGTCCATGGGTTATGCATATATGCATACAAGTTCTTTGGTTGATCTCTTCCCACCTATCCACCCACCCCTTGTTAATTTAGTGAAAATCCCTCTACTGATTTATTTTAGTCAATTTGAATTTTATTATTTCTCAATAGACTGAGATACTACTATAACCTTTTACTGAGATTTATTAAGAGGATAGTACTTTATTGAAATTCTAATTCTTGTAAAGTTAATTGGCATATTTACATTCACAAAGTATATGTTCAATCAAAGTAGTTTATAAAAGTAAATCATTAATGTCATTGAGAATTCTATTGCAATTCTATATTCTTTTTTTTTTTTTTTTTTTTTTGAACAAATCCAAGTAACAATTTTATTCTGTCTACAGCACACGTTTTTACATACATTTTAGTGGTTTTGTCAGTGTTACAGTTGGGCAAACTTTAAATGAATCCACAGAAGTTAATATATTAAAAGTAAAATATACACAATAAAACAGCAGGCAATCCGGATGTTGAGATTCATGCAGGTGGGGTGAGGACGGAGGACCTCGCCTATGTAAGAGTCACCAGAAGATATCAGTTCTTCTGTCCCTCCTCCCCATATAATTCACCGAAATTGGAGAATTCTAAACACACACACACACACACACACAAAATAAACACTCTTTGAAAGCCGTGTCAGTACAAAAATTCAATACAAGCCTAAATGTGTCATCCAACCAACAGTTCCATTGGTCAGACCTGTTACTCGGAAGCAGTCACTGTCGGCACCTGATCTAAAGGCAAGGCTGTCTCATTCATTAAAACACCAAAAGGAGATTAATCAACGAAGCAGCTAATGTGTTAATCTTAATATAAGACACTGAGGGAAAACCAAAGCTAATATTTTAAATACCACTGCACTAAGCCAGGATATAACCCATGGACTACAGATCCATGCTTTCAATACTTTCTACCTGAAACGGAAACAAGTGTTTGGGGAAATATAGAAGAAAGGTAGAAATGTGAATTTATGCCTCTAATTCCACAGTTTAAAAATGAGCATAAACTGATAACATAGAGCTAGGTGACAATGACACTGTCGGGCACCATAGAGGCAACACCAGTGTGGACGGTAACGCCTGACGGGAGTTTCAGCAGATGGCCAACCACCGACACCAGAGCACAGGCAAGGAGGAGCACCCTGAAGGGAACAGGGCGAAGGCGCAGAGAAAAAGGTGCCTCTTTTGAAAAAGTTAATGGATATCAAAATACTTCTCCATCATCAGTAAACCAAACTAGTCAAGGCCGTGGCCCAAAGCAGCCCGGAACTTGGAGTCAGGGGTTGGCAGAAAACGTCTGGAAAACTGCGGTTTTTAAAAATTGGCAATTTCTCCGGCCCCGTGAAACCATCCGAAGAGGCACAATGTTGGTTTGCCTGTGGAATGTGGACGGCTTGCTGCCAGAATGCACATGGGCGGGGACCCGCAGAGATGCGTGTCCATGGAACTTTTTCTTTCTTTTTTTTTAATGTACAAAAAAACGAAGTTACTGTTTAAAAAAGAACCATGTTGTGTCAGGATAAAACATGGCGAAAGTAGTGTAAGTTCTGCCCATGATTCTTTCCGCAGCTGATGGGAAAGTGATAGAAACGAGTTTCTCTTCAAAAGGAAGCTTTGCTGTTGCACTGACTTCCACAACCCGACCTAGTGATTTAGAAAAACCCATGTAGTAAAGTCTGTAAAATCGAAATACAAAATTCTGGTTTGTAAACATCAGTTGGCCAAGTCTATCCAGAGTCCTGCATGACAGTGGAATGGAATGAATAATTAGTTCACTACCTTAACGGATTCGTCCTGGAACACTCCAGAACACAGCATTGATACTTTCACAGTAATTATAGTCAGACTATATAAAGAAAGTCAGTGCAGTTGTCTTTTTCCTCCTCCTGTGCAATAGGCAGCTCTTGCCCCTCTCCCAAGTGCCATCGCTGAAATAATACTGGTGCGGACACCTGGTGCAGAACAGTCATAAATGGCGCACGAAGTCTGTGGGGCTCCGGTAAAGATACTTCCAGATGGCATAGTAGTGCACGGCGGCGGCCGTGGCCACAAACAGGTGCCAGATGGCATGGGCGAACGGGATGATGCCATCGCTCTTGAAGAAGACCACGCCCAGGCAGTAAATCAGGCCCCCGCAGGCGAGCTCGTGAAGTCCCTCCGTGTTGTTCATTGATGTCACCACCAAGGCTGGAGAGAAGCCCATTGTGAGATAAAAAAGGAGCTCAACCAACTTATACTTTTCATGGTAGAGAAATACATAAATGGTTCCTCCAGCTGCCATGAGCCAGATAAACCAACGCATATGAGATGCCAGGGGTCCAAGTTCACGGAGATTTAACCATGGCGCATAAGACGCAGCAATGAAGAAATAGATAACCATTCTATCACACATGTGGAAACATTGTTCCACTGTCCTTAGGTGGCTCTTTTTCCATGACACCATGTGAAATACTGTGGAGACGATGAAGAGGGCACAGAGGCCCATGCCATAGATCCATGCTGTTATCTTCTCCCAGCAGTCGTCAGACAGCCGATGGAGGAGGGCGCTGCCCACGATGGCCGGGACAATGAGGAATGCATGTGTGTAACAGTTAGCAGCATGTTCATAACAAGTTGGTTTGTAGCGGCCATTGGCTGGGGCCCGGTGGTTCATGAACCGCTGGAATCGATTCTGGAACCTCATTGATCCTCCGCTCCTCCTCGGGGGCCGGGAGCTCCGTCTCGTCTGCGCCGGCGGCCGGGCGCGCGGCCCTCATGGGCTTGGGTTGCTCCGGAGGCCGCCCGGGTGCACCGCGGACCGCTCGGCGGAGCAGGGCCGGAGTGGGTCAGGCCGGGGGTCGGGACGGAGCCGGGGCCAGACCGGGCCCAATTCTATATTCTTGAAAATATTATTCTCAACTTTTCTCTGAATTTATTTTGAATCTCTGTGGATTTCCCATTCTTAATTATAATTTTGTAGGGGTTTGTGATTTTTAAAATATTTTTATTGAATCGAAAAGAAAGTTACCTATTTACTGAATTAATGTTAATCTTTATTTGCCAGTCCCCTTTTCCCCTTTCTGTGTAATTAGTTCATAGATCTTTTAGCAATTTCTTCCATCTACAGGTATATTTTGGTTTATTGTCCAACATCTTGTTTTAAAGAGATAGATTATTTTCCCCAAGCATTCCTGAAGATATGCCATGTACGTTTTGATAGTACCATTTGTATCTAAGTGGCAATATAATTTGGGTGTGGTCTGACTCAGTGCAGGAATGTTGAGTTTGTCAAATGCACAGCGAAACAGCCACAAGCTCTCAAGAAAGACATAATCACACGGGAAGATGCCTAAAAAGTGGCATTTTAAAAGGCAAAGTAGATATTAGAGTTTATAAATGAGGAAAGGCTCTTAATTTCAGAAAGAGGTCAGTAGAAAAGGTGTGATCTAAAACTTTGAATGATAACAGGAAAATAATTTTATAAAAGACATACTTGATGGTAACTTATACACTTACATTTTTCCTTTTGGCATGAAATACAGTATTTGTCAATCTTTGATGAAAATTAAAATATGATGGAAGGAGAAAGCAAGAAGTTTCCATGAAAATGATTTATTACTTTCTTTATAACTGTCATGCTCAGTGAAAGTTGCTGAGGGTAGATACATGAATGACTGAGATTGATAGAATCTATGCTATCAGGGCGACACTGAGACTATCATTCTCTGCCATATGGGCATTTCTTTGCACCTTTAAGACGTGCAGAGTTATCTACCCAGGATTGGTTATTATACCTTCAAAGAGATTCTGCTATAAATATGCTTTGAAGATTTTAATTTATCAAGATCTCTTCTTTTTGTTTTAAGGATTACCAGATTCTAAATCTTTATTTAGCCTTTCCTCCGATATGAGTTATCTTCTTATTTGGTTAAAATAATTCTTTTGAATAAAATCTTAGTCTGTAGTTAATGGCCTGATCTAAACTAACTCAGAAGTGACAGCTTTTGATGAATAGCCCACAATTCAGTCCAAAAAGGAAAAGTACATTTTTATAAGCTGATTTATAAAATATTTTCTATGTTTAATGTATAACTTTATTTTAAAAATTTTTCTTCTTTCTAGGGCTCGTTACCTCCATCCTGTGTTGAATTATTCTTGTGTATCCTAAGCTATTTTTATCTGCTTGATTGTAACTAAGATTCTCTGCCAGCTTTGTTAAGAATACTGAAACATTCTACTCAGATAAAGGAAAGGTTTGAGAGAGTAGTTCCAAAAATACCTAAAGGAAATCAGTCATTAAGTGTTTTGGTTTTAAGAAAAGAGCCAAGAAGTAAATCATCTTGAAAAAAGGTATTCTATTAATTAAAAACATTACCATTTTGAGACAGACCTTGGTCTTATAGAGGTCCCCAAGCAATGTATTATACCAATGAGCTTCTAACACTAAAATTTTCCCATAAGGGGGAGGAATACATAGGCTATGGACGATTATTTCCAGATGTAGTTATTAATTATTCAGAAGCTAAAAATAATTTTTAATGAGGGCAGTATAACTCTGAAGTATTTGAAGCAGTATGTAAATACTGACAATAATATTTTGTTCTTTGTTTACTCCTTTGTCTATTTTTTCCCAGCCTCTTCTTTTCCTGCTGTCAATGATTTGCCTTGAAGCCCTAAATCTTTTCAATAATGGCAAATACCTTACTTGCTGGCTGCCATGCAGTAAAAATAAGACATTTGGTAAATAAAGCTATTCGATTAACTCCCTCTCACAAACGATGTCACAGTTGGTCAACATGGAAACAGTTTTTCAAAGTTCTTTCTCCATTCCACATCTATCTCATAAATTTAAAACCATTTTTCTCTTCGATACTATTTTTATTTTTCCCACCTGAGCTCCCATACCCTCCTACTGACTCTTTCTTCCAGAACTTACACTCTATCAGCAACCTCATGTATTTTCTCTGAAATCTTCCAAAGTCTAACTTGATCAATAAATCTTTACGAAGTATTTAAAATAATATCTCAAACTTAATATACAACAACTCTAAATTTGATTGACATATCAAATTTCACATAGTATGCTGCAGCATTTTTAAAACACTTATAAAGAAGTATTGTTTGATTAAATGGTCATTCTAGACTTCTTGTGTGTGTGGGGGGGGAAACACACACAAAAAAACATGTATAACATTAATCTTATCTGTTTTTTTGAGAGAATTTATATAAAACGTTCTCAGTGGAACCCTGAACAAGAAACGAGTTTTGTTGTGCTTAACTTACTGATGTGCTTTCTTAGTATTGGTGCTACTTGAATGAGAATACTGCTGATGGTAATACTGTGTTTAATGTGATCGCTTTTCTAGTTAAAGTGGCATGTGGAAGCGCTGTCACAACATTTTGATCGTCTAATGTAAGATGTGGAATTTAAATCAGGGCCTAATTGTTAGACGTCAATACTACTGTCAAATAAATACACTATCTTCCCCATCAAAACTGAGAAACAATGACAATATTTGATTTAGTATAATTTTCAATGCAGTTAGATCAAAAAAGGAGACTACACATAAAAAGTTCTCTATTCATGTGTCCATTAAATTTATTTTATAATAGAGAAAAAAATAATATTCTAAATGTTCTCAAATAATGTGACATTTGAACTCTGTCACAATCAACGTAACAGTAAACAGCCATTGACAAAATGATGCCATTATAATCTAGAATGAACACCTATAAGGGAATATACTTTTGTATGACTACTTTCTTTTAAGCACACATGTATGCATATTAGACAAATAAATAAAAGAAAATCAAACCTTAAACTTTGATCAGCCTACTTAATCAACATAGCCTATAAGACTTGAGTACTGTGACCATCAGCATTAAAATGACCTGGTTATTTGTACTATGAATTAAAATGACCTGTCTCAACAGGACTTAGTAATTTGGTTCAGAGCAACTTTTCCTGGGAAAGAAAACTGTAAACCAATATATAACTTCACTATTTGCATCATCAACTTTATGGAAATCAATTATGTGATATGGCAATCACCTTGGAAAACTATACACACAATAAGAAATAGTTTAATTATCAAGTTAACTGCAGCCTCACTTTACTATATTCATCCATCCTAAATAATTATCTCAGGATTTTTGTCCAGTCTCCAGTAGTTCCTCTCCCTCGAATATCTACCTTAAATCACAGAGTCCAGACCTCAAGTCCTATAAATATACATTTTGACTCTCCAATTCATAGACACTACTGAATGTTTTCCACTGTGTTGAGGTGGTATCCCCCCTTACTGCAGTGATTTTTAGTAATTTAGATCTGCTTTATTAATATGTTGTTTTTTGGGGGAGCTCAATGGAATACTTTTTGTTGGTTTGGGGATTTTTAGATTGATTAAAATTTATTATATTCCCTTTTCTAGGTATAATTGATAAATATAAATTGAATATATTTAAGGCATGCAATGTGATTACAGTGGGGCCTTGACTTACGAATTTAATTTGTTCCAAGACCGAGCTCGTTAAGGAGCTCGTTAACTCAAATTATCAACTCAATGTGAAAAATCAGCAGAGAGACAGCTGGTATCTCAAAAAACTCGTTAGTCGGGACACTCGTAAGTCAAGGCCTCACTGTATTATATAGATTGTGAAATGTTTACCACAAGCAAACTAACTAATCTACTCTTTACCTCACGTATTTATATTATTTCTTTCTTGGTGAGAACACTTCAGACCCACTTTCCTAGTAAATTTTAAATATGCAATAGAGTACTGTTAATTATAGTCAAGACACTGTACATTGGAACTTAAGTTCTACATTTTTTAAATTTCACAAATAAGTGAGATTATGCAGTAATTGTCTTATTGTTGCTGGCTTATTTGACTTAGTGCAATGTCCTCCGTACTCATACCTGTTGTCACAAATGGCAGAATGTTCTTCTTTTTTTTGTGATTGAGTAATATTCCACGATTCCAATAGGAGTCTATTATATATAAACATATGCAACATACAGAACAATTAAATTATTAACAGATATATGTTAATATACATACCGCATTTATTTCTTTTCTTCTGCTAACTTTGACCTTAGTTTGTTCTTTTTCTAGTTCCAGGAGCTTCAAATTAGGTTATTTATTTGAGATTCTTCTTTTCTTTTAGTGTAGTAAAATCTCAATATAACAGACTAATATGGGCAAGAGTGTGTCCATTAAAACCGAAAGTCTTATATAAAAGTTTGATTTAACAGAAACGCTTTTTTATATGTATTACTGGAATTTTAAATTTATACTGAATAGGTCTGGTAAATGTGTGCATCCACCAGTCACCAAAAGTAAACAAATGCACACGTTTGGGGTGTGGCTTAGCACCATCAAAACATCAGCAGGAACACGTTCAAATTGCTGCAGAGCCCGCTGGTGTGGCTCAGTGGAGTGTCCAACTATGGGCCAGGAGGTCATGGCTCGATTCCTTCAGAGTACATGCCTGGGTTGCAAGCTTGATCCTCAGTGTGGGGCGTGCAGGAGGCAGCTGATCAATGATTCTCTCTCATCATTGATGTTTCTATCTTTCTCTACCTCTCCCTTCCTCTCTGAAATCAATAAAAAATATATATATATATATATATATATATATATATATATATATATATATATATTTAAAAAATCTGCTTCAGAAAGTCACACCAGCCATGCAACAACAGAACCAATTTCCATGTGGGATGCGGTGTGATCACATGCTAATCATTCACCAAACAGATTATGAGCTGTGACTCTTGGCTTTATACGTGTATACTATAGTTGTAGATATGTAATATTTATGTCAGGGAAATTTCTGCAATGTTTTTCCAACATATGGTCTATTCCCTATTTTT